AAAAAAAAAAAAAAAAAGTGTGGAGGTATAACAGGACATCTTTCCCACAGTCTGACCCAGGAGAAGGCATTTTGACAACTTGAATAAAAAGTTAACATGAATCGTGAATGCCAGGGGCAACCAAAGTAAGATTATCAGGAGCTGAGATAAAAACTAGAAGAGGAAAGGATTGGTTGCTAGATAATCAAGAGAGCAGAGGAAAATGAAAGATAGATGATGAGCATGCTAAATATACATCGATGTGCGAGTAACTAAATCATTTAAAGGGGCAGGCACAAGACAAAACTTGAGAGATACAGGCAGAAGAGTGTAATATTTGCATTTTATATTAAAAATCCTAAGACAAATGCATGCCTTCAACATAACATTTCCACTTCTAGAAATGTATCTTTAGATTATAGAGATTTCAAAATTATTTAAAGATATAGAGATTCCAAAAATGTGAATCATAGAATTATATATAATAAGAAATTGAAAACAGAATGTGCAACAAAACTGATTGATTAAATAAATGTTGGTTTAGGCAATAATGTCCAAAAAGCAGCCTTTGGATATGATTCTGGAGACATATTTGTCAACATTAAAAGTAAGTGAAAAGTTGGACATAGAAATTCAGTGTTGCAAGATGAAGAAGTTCTAGAGATCTCTTGCACAACAATGTAACTACTCTTAACACTACTGAACTGTACACTCAGAAATGGTTAAGATGATAATTTTAAAGTTATGTGTTTTTACTACAATAAGAAAGTAAATGAAAAGAGTGCATTATAAAACACTGTATATGGTATTATCACACACACACACAAAACTGAGAGGCCTTTCTAGAACAGCAAGTGAAAGAATCCCAATTCTTCCATTTACTATGTGACTAAGAAAAGTTAATTTTTCTGTGTCTCAGTTTCTTTATAGATTAAATGCTAGTAATAATAGTACTGATTTCATAGAATTGCTATGAAGATTAAATGAGTTAAGTACATAGAAAGCAATTGTAATAACTTTAGTCAAAGATAACTCAAGAACCTTATTATGAGGTAAACTTGTAGATGATATTATCTTAAAAAATCAAGATTTGTGAAATCGAAAGAAAAATGAAGTAAAAATTTGGGAGAGAGTGATGTGAGGATTGAGTATGAGCATGGTGTGTTAGAGAATCAGTAAGAAGTCTCCTGTTGCTAGAACGTAGCAAGAGGGAAAAGACAAGAGAGGTAGATGGAGGTAAGAGAAGTAGGCTGGGCTAAATCACTTAGGACTTTATAAACCGTGTAAGGAATTTAGATTAATTTTATTATACCAGGTAAGGAAATTGGGACACAGTTGAACAGCTTTTAGGAAAGGGAGAGACAGAATAAGATTTGCCTTTTAAAAGGAGTACTTTTAACGGCTATGAGGGCAACGGTTTGTGAAACATCTAAGGTGGAAGCAAGGAGAAGAGTTATTTGGTTATTTCTCTTGATTGGGGCAAGACAATGGTTGTTCGGTCAAGGGTTTGGACATAGGTATGGAGGAGGAGAAGGGAGTCAATTAAAGGCTTGTGCTGAAGGAGAATTACTGATTCAGTGTGGGGTGTGAGAAAAAGTGGGACCAAGAATAATTACTAGTTTTGGGGTTGGACTGGGTGGGTACTGCTGTTGTTTACTGAGATGGAAAAGATGAAGAAGACACCATTGACTTAAATTAAGATGAATAATTCCGTATGTTGGTAAAGGTATGGAGTCATTGGAACCTTCATGCATTGCTGCACACGTTTTACCACTTTACATGCCCACGACCAGTTTGAAACAGTTTAACAGTTTCTTATAATGTCAAACATTACCTTCCCTATAGTCCAGTAATCTATTCCTAAGTATTTACCTAAAAGAAATGAAAAATGTGTGTTCACAAGAAGATATAACTTGTACATAAATGTTATAGCACCTTTATTTATAACATCTCAAACCAAAAACAACCAAAATGTCCATCAACAGTTGAATGAATAATTAGTGCTATATTAATATATAGAATATGCTCAGCAAATAAAAATGAATAAATTATTGATACATGCAACAATAGAGAATAAATATGCAGGCATTAGGTTGAGTGAAAAAAAACACAATAACAAAAGAATACCTACTATACGATTCCATTTATATGAAGTTCTAGGACAGGCAAAACTAATCTGTCAGATTAACGAGATCAGCGATTACCCACAATGTCAAGGGAGATTGACTGGGAAGGGGCAGTAGGAAATTTTCTGAAATAATGAAAATAGTCTACGTCTTGTTTGGGGTAATGGTCATGCGGTTGCACACTTTTGTATCAAAACTCATCAATCTGTACACTTAAAATGTGTGCATTTTATTGAATGTAAATTATGCTTCAATAAAATTTATTTTAAAAGGTATTCAAGCCAGGTAAGGTGGCTTGGGCCTGTAATCCCAGCTGTTTGGCCAAGGTGGAAGGATTTCTTGATCCCAGGAGTTCAAGACCAGCCTGGGCAATATTATGAGACCCATCTCTCTTTTTTTTAAATTATACTTTAAATTCTGGGGTACATGTACAGATCTTGCAGGATTGTTAAATAGGTACACACATGCCATCGTGGTTTGCTGTCTCCATCCCTCCATCACCTACATCAGGCATTTCTCCCAGTGTTATCCCTCTCCAACCTCCCTGCCCCCCGCTGTCTCCCCTAGCCCCCCATGCCCCAACATACCATAGTGTGTGATGTTCCCCTCCTTGTGCCCATGTATTCTCATTGTTCTATGAGTGAGAACATGCGGTGTTTGGTTTTCTGTTCTTGTGTCAGTTTGCTGAGAATGATGGTTTCCAGATTCATCCATGTTCCTACAAAGGACACAAACTCATCATTTTTTATGGCTGCATGTATTCCATCATGTATATATGCCACATTTTCTTTGTCCAGTCTATCATTGATGGGCATTTGGGTTGGTTCCAGGTCTTTGCTATTGTAAACAGTGCCACAATGAACATATGTGTGCATGTGTCTTTATAACAGAACAATTTATAATCCTTTGGATATATACCCAGTAATCAGATTGCTGGGTCAAATGGAATTTCTATTTCCAGATCCTTGAGGAATCGCCACACTGTCTTCCACAATGGTTGAACTAATTTACACTCCCACCAACAGTGTAAAAGAGTTCCTATTTCTCCACATCCTCTCCAGCATCTGTTGTCTCCAGATTTTTTAATGATTGCCATTCTAACTGGTGTGAGATGGTATCTCAATGTGCTTTTGATTTGCATTTCTCTAATGACCAGTGATGATGAGCCATTTTTTGATATGTTTGTTGGCCCTATATATGTCTTCTTTTGAAAAGTGTCTGTTCATATCCTTCACCCACTTTTGAATAGGTTTGTTTGTTTGTTTCTTGTAAATCTGTTTTAGTTCTTTGTAGATTCTGGATATTAGCCCTTTGTCAGATGGATAGATTGCAAAAAATTTTTCCCATTCTGTTGGTTGCCTGTTCACTCTAGTGATTGTTTCTTTTGCTGTACAGAAGCTCTGGAGTTTAATTATATCCCATTTGTCTATTTTGGCTTTTGTTGCCAATGCTTTTGGTGTTTTAGTCATGAAGTCCTTGCCTATGCTTGTGTCCTGAATGGTTTTGCCTAGGTTTTCTTCTAGGATTTTTATCGTGTTAGGTATTATGTTTAAATCTTTAATCCACTTGGAATTAAAGATATGGAATGCTTCATGAATTTGCATGTCATCCTTGCGCAAGGGCCATGCTAATCTTGTCTATATAGTTTCAATTTTAGTATACGTGCTGCTGAGGTGAGCACAACCCATCTCTTAAAAAAAGAAAGAGATATTCAGTTATCTTTAAAACACTTTTTTTAAAAAGATGTATTCAAACCTTTTCAGTGAGTAGAGAAAATGACTATATTTCTAAACCTCCAAACTCAGATTCTAAATTCTGAGATTACTTACTACAAGAAAGGAAATTATAGATCAGTAACTCCTTTAAGCATAAGTGCATAAATTCTAATCAAAATATTGGTGAATTGAATCCACTGATAAATAAAAAGCGATAACAATGACCAAATGGGACTGATTATAAGAAAACAAGATTGGTCTGGTATTCAAAAATCGATTTGGGTAACACATTTTATTAGCCAAATAAAGAAAAAAGACATAAAATTATCTCAGTGAATTCAGTAAAAGTATTTCTTAAAATTTAACACCCACTCATAATAATAAAAAAAAATCTTAGCAAACTGAAATAGAAATTCCCTTATTTCAGTAATGGGAATCTACAAAATTTCAACAGCCAACCTCATACTAAAATGTGAAATGTTGAATGCTCTTCTTCTGAGTTTAGGAATAAGGTAAGTATGTCTACTATCACCACTTCCATTCAGCATTGTACTGGAGGTCCTAGCCAGTGCAATGAGGCAAGGAAAAGAAAGAAAAATTTTAAAGTTTGGAAAGGATGAAGCAAATTATCTTTATTCATAGATAACATGATTCACGTGCATATATGTACATAGTAAAATCCAAATGAATATAAAAAGCTTGAAAATTAATTAGTGAATTTAGCAAAGACTCATGGTACAAGATTAAAGTTAAGATTAAAAATCAACTTTATTTCTATATACCCTTAATCAACAGATAGAAACTGAAATTTTAAAAATACCATTTACAGCAGCATCCAAATGTAACAAAACATGTAGAAGACATCTATACTGAAAACCACAAATATTCTGAGAGAAAATGTAAAAGACATGAAGTAGAAATATCCAATGTTTGTGGCTTGGGAAAAACTCAATATTATTATATTGTTAATTCTTCCGAAATTAAACTGTAGATTCAATTCAATCTCAATCCAAATTCCTGCTTTTTTTTTAATGAAATTTGTAAGTGGGCTATAAAATATATCTAAAAGTATAAAGGCCATAGAATAAGAAGGCAATCTTGAAGAAAGTTAGAGCATTGATGCCCCTAGATATCAAGATGTACGAGAAAACGACTATTACTTTGCTCTAACTGGATCTTTTTAGATCAAGTTCCTGTTCCTGAATTAGGCATCATGGCAGACAGCCCTGAACCCATCAGGCTCTGATTTAGAGCCAGTGCTGGGGTCAGTCCCGTCAGAGAGTATGGTATCTACATAATGGGGGAAGAATGCAAGAGCTGTTGAGGAGGCAACTACAGTGTCCACTATGACAACCTTCATATACAAAATATTTTTAATGGATCCAAACTTTGATGAGTAAGTTTGACAGGCACAGAGGAGACAAGAGTCTCTAGAACAGCTTTCACAGGAAGAGGAGTGTAATCTCATGGTATGCTCAGATTAGTAGGAAATTCTCTGTGATGGAGCCTCAGGATGTGGGGATGGATAATAGAAGAAAGGGATGGAAAAGGCCAGATGGTGAGGAGCCTCAAGTTCTATTTGAAAGTATTTAGATATCTTTGTATAGAATTATATAACCAAATGCGGTTTTCTTTTTCTTTTTTTTTTTTGAGACAGAATCTTGCTCTGTCACCCAGACTGGAGTGCAGTGGCGCAATCTCAGCTCACTGCAACTTCTACCTCCAGGTTCAAGCAAGTCTCCTGCCTCAGCCTCCCGAGTAGCTAGGATCACAGGCACACGCCACCATGACCAGCTAATTTTTATATTTTTAGTAGAGTCGGCGTTTCACCATGTTGGCCAGGTTGGTCTCAAACTCCTGACCTCTGACCTCAGATAATCCGCTCACCTCAGTACCAAATATGGTTCTCAAGCAGAGGTATGATAACCTAGAATAGGGAAAATTAGGGGTAGAAAAACTACAAGGAAGCTGTTTAGAGTTAATAGGAGAGAAATGATGAGGTACTTACCAAGGCAATGGAGATCTGCTGACACTAAGTGCTGACGAGGTGCTAAACTTGGCTGTTTTCATGCATGATTTCATTGAATGCTCACAACAACCACTTGAGAAAGTTTTATCTCCTGATTTTATAGAAACAGACCTGGTGAGGTTAAGTAACTTGCTCCAGAGCCACACAGCTAACAAGTAGAAGCGTCAGAGGGTTTTAACTCAGGCCAGCTGATTCCAGACCCTGCCCTCTTATCCATGATACTACCCAACTAGGCCATGACGGAAATAAAGGGTGGTCCAACCAGAGATATTTAGGGGTTTAATTGTTAGACTTTGGTTATGGTTGGGATGTTGCTTCCATGAAATAGCCATGATTTTCTTCTTCATTTAATGAATCTTTCTCTTTCCTTCACTGGCTCCTCTTAATTATAAGTTGGTTTCTGCTCTTTCTTTTCGAAATACTTTTTTGGAGGTTGTTTTCTCTAGTGGCTTCATCTATCACTGATTTTGTTGATTTAACCCAAATCTCTTATTTCTAATCTCAGTATCTTAATCACACTCCTCAAGATCATTTTGACTTGTCTGTACTATCGCCTGAAATCTATGTCTAAAATTAAACTCACATTTTACTTCAGTTTCTCTTGATGCCTTCTATTAACAGCAAAACTAACCAGGCTTCTGGGCTTTAGAAGAATATTTGACTGTAATATTCCTTCACTTTTCACACCCTGTCAGGCAACCAACCAGTGCAGCCAATTTTTTAGCGTTGCTTCAGATTCATCTCCCTTTCATAACCTTTGCTGCCACTCTGCTATTAGCTCTCAGTGGCCCATTGTTGAATTACTATGTTTGTTTCCTATCTGGTCCCCTTGCATTTAACCTCTCTTCTATACTCCACCCTGCTTATTACTTTCAAGGAAAAGTCTTGCTTCAACACGGATTCCATAATTTACTTGCCTTATTCAAGAACTACTGATGGCTATTACCCAACAAATCAAGATTACTGAATCGACTCTAACCTGTTCTCTGCCTAAATTTGAGGACCCTGCACAGCCTAGTTTCACTTATTTTATCAATTTCACCTCCTCCGAATTTGAACTCTCCATTCTAGTCAATTGTCCTATTACTATTATTTCTTCCTCCAACCCTCTGTACATGCATATCCACATGCCATGCGCTATACCATCTGAAGAATTACTAATACTCTTCCCTTGGCCTAGAGTGCCCACTTATTTTTTTCTAGACCTGTATCCCAAATGACTCTTTTCCTGATGACTTAAAAAAAAAAAGTTACATCTCCCTCCTCTGACTTCTTTGCTTATTGCCACAGCCAGAGCAGAGAAGTAACTGTAATTATATTCTCCAAATGCCTCTGTTAAACCATGTAACACTTTATTGTGTTAATATATAAAGCTGTTCAGTTCACTAGTCCAGGTATGTATCTTATTTTTCCAACAGGATAACAAATTCTAATGTTCAGTTTAAAATTATGTCTTCAGTGTGGTGATTCCTCAAGGACCTAGAAATAGAAATTCCATTTAACCCAGGAATCCCATTACTGGCTATATATCAAAAGGACTATAAATCGTTCTGAACATGCACGTATGTTCATTCTGGCACTGTTTACAATAGCAAAGACCTGGAACCAACCCAAATGCTCATCAATGATAGGCTGAACAAGGAAAATGTGGCACATATATACCATGGAATACTATGCAGCCATAAAAAATGATGAGTTTGTGTCCTTTGTAGGGACATGGATGAATCTGGAAACCATCATTCTCAGCAAACTGACACAAGAACAGAAAATCAAACACCACATATTCTCACTGATAGATGGGTGTTAAACAATGAGAACACATGGACACAAGGAGGGGAGCATCACACACTAGGGTTTGTTGTTGGGGGCTAGGGGAGGGACAGGGACAGTGGGGGATGGGGAGTTGGGGACGGATAACATGGGGAGAAATGCCAGATGTAGGTGACGGGGATGGAGGCAGCAAACCACATTGCCATGTATGTACTGATGCAACAAATCCTGCATGTTCTGCACATGTACCCCAGAATCTAAAGTGCAAAAAATATATTAAAAATAATCAAATAATGTCTTCTACTTTTTTTGTATTCATAATGTCAATGATAATGCTCAGTAAATTCCCATTATTGGTTGCAACTATAGACACATGTATTTTTATGTTGTGTATATCCCCGTAAGCTTAGTTTATCTGAATAGTAGTAAAATATAGTAACTGTTCTCTTTTTTTAAGGGATTGTTTCCTTTAGAGATTTGAAAATTCAAATACCTCCAAATGTATAAGACATTTTGCTTTGTATGTTCAAACCACACTAAAGTTATAGCTTTTAGGGTAATATTTTTAATTACTATGAAGGAAAAAACAGAAAGCCCCTGAAGGCTAACAGTTTGAAATTGAACAGGACACTCTTGGGAAGGGAAAGGGGTCATGGGTCATGGTCAAACAGACAAAAAACAATGGAGACGATTGTGCCTGAAGATGGTGTATTTTTTTTCATGAGACAGTGTGTTGACAGTTTCCTTCCTCTTGAGTCATTGTTGTGTGCTAAATGATCTGTGACAGCAAATTGATCACAAGCTTTTTCACACAAGAGATATAATGCAGCCTTTCATTCTGTTACCTCTGTTGCCAAATGCTGAGACATTTCATTGGCAAATTCGTGTTAGTTTAGTATATCATTTAGTCGTCTATACCACAGCATGCAGCTCTGGAAGCAATAATAGTAATTATTAATTTATCTTCCCCAGGTTTCAAATTTCTACTTAGGTGTGATTGTAAAAGTAATAACACATTCAAAAAATGTTAGTCTTAAAATTAGGTGTCCATATTGTTATTTAAATAAATGAATGAATTAACAATTTAAATAATGCCCCATTAATTTCAAAGTTGAGTCAAATATTTAGTTTAAGGTATCTATGATTTACCTATAAAAACTAATGTTAATATACTTGTTCTGACTGAAGACTTGCCTCTTCTTCCAAAGAGCTAAGAACTTAAATTGGAAAACAGGCATAAGGCATATTGCACTGGATGTTTAAGTATCTGTTGAAGCCAGTTAACTAGTGATTTCTCATGTCTGAAAAAATATGCTTAAGTAATATTTTGTTTACAGAGTCTTGAGAATCTCTGCATTTAAAAAGTCTGTGGGAAAAATGCTTGGAAATGCAGTTAGTTAAGGGACTGCTTTCTAGTTCCCATTTAACACCTTATAACAATCTTTGGTCTCCATTAGGACATAGTAATATTAGCCCAGGGAGGGAGAAGTAGCAGGCAGGAGTATTAGGAAAGAGTTGTTTTTCCTCTCTTTGAAAACAGACAGATTCTCTGTAAAAACTGAACTAATCTCAATTATAATGCTTGTATTCTGGCCTCATTATAAGTAATAAAGGTTTTTTACTAGAATTTGACATAGAGGTTCAAGAAAGATGTTTACTGTTATTACAGAATGAGAAATTGACAGGTATAATGCTTTGCTTAAAGTTATTTTTTAATGTTAGTCATGAAAGGCAGATTTCTTAAACCTGTATTTTTCTTTTTATAATATACACATGGGTCCATATTTATATTATTGAAAAACGATTTGGACATTTTCTTTTTTGTGATTTGTATTCATTATTGCTGAAATCAATATGTTGGATACATTTGTTAAAAATGCATGTTACAATTTGCAAGTCAGTTTAGTATCTTGTGACAAGATATTATGTGAATAGTCCACATAACAATACAATAATTTTAAAGAGAAAATTTACAAACTACCCATTGTCTGATTTTTATTTATATTTTCAGATCAATTAAAGGAGTCCTATTTAGTGATTACTACCAGACATGGTCTGGAATAGCTACATCAACAGCCACAGAATACTACAGAACTCCATGTAAGGTGAACTATTCTTATCCTATGTCCTTTTGGTATATGTTAATCTGTTAACATTTATCTTTCTTTCAAAGACTAATTGGCACACATCTGCTAGGGAAGAGTAATACACTTCTCTGTAGGCATTATAAACTATTCATTCAACAACTATTAATTATTTTTTAAAAATTTTTTTAATTTTAATTTTTTGTCTTAGAGACAGGGTCTCACTCTGTCACCCAGGCTGGAGTGCAGTGGTGCAAACATAGCTAACTGCAGCCTCAAACTCTTGGACTCAAGCAATCTCTGCTTCAGCCTCATGAGTAGCTAGGATTATAGGCAAAATCCACCATGCATGGCTAATTTTTTTATTTTTACTTTTTAGAGATGGGGATCTCACTGTGTTGTCCAGGCCAGTTTGAAACTCCTGGCCTCTAGCAATCATCCTGCCTCAGCCTCTCAAAGAAGAATCAAAGTTGTATAGATCCCTGGACTGAAGTCTGATTAAAAGCTAAAAGAGATAGTCAGTTGGAGGAATAACAGAAAAGCTTTCAATCTTATGAGGTTTACTTTACTCCCTTTACCACAGAGAAAAGCCTTCACACCAGAGAGAACCTTTTTATTTCTCTTCTAAGCCACAGGAAATATTAGGTAGAAATTTAGCGAGAAAACATAAGAACATAGGGCTCTTCAATTATATCAACCTAAAAGGAAAAATCATCTGTTACCATCATTAGGACCTAAAAAGACAGAATGGGAGAGTTGGACAACTTTCTGGCTCGATTTAATTGGATCTTTAGAGTACTATTTCATTATCTGGATGAAAGTTAGCTTATCCAGTCTGTATACACTTACTGAAATATGACTTTGCTTCAGCCATCCTTCGAAAATGATGCATTCTGCAGTAGCAGAGATTTCTGAATTCCCAGATGCAACAATTGCATTTTAGTCCTCTTCTTACTTGCAGTCTCATTAGCTGTGCTCTCCTTGATTTACAGGACACCATACATCCATGCTTTTTCATCTCCCTGCCTAAGCATTGCGCTGCCTCTTCCCTTGGCAATATCTTCTTCATTCAGTCCTCTCTACTTACTCTCCACTACCATGGATGCCTACATGCCAGTGATTCCTAAAGCTGCATCTCTAGCCAGACCCCTCTTCCGAATTTTACATGCAGTTATATTTATAATTGTGCAAGGGATATCTCACCTACATGTATTGTAGATATGTCATCTTCAAGATGTCTCAAAGTGAATTCATCATCTTGCCCCAATCTATCCTTCTTCCTTTATTTGCTCTCTTGGTTAGTGGTAAATGACCATTTTTACATTTTCTTACCTAAGCCAGAATCTTAGAAGTTTCCCAAATCTCTTGATTTCTCTCATTAAGTCTTATTGATTTTATCGCCTGCAGTATTATGAATACTTCCACTCCACTCCACCCTCATAACATTGCCTTAATTTGAGGTCTCACTATATTTCATCTCATCATTGTGATAGTTTCTTTTCATGAAAAATAGTATCTAGTTTCAAGGCACAAATGAGGGCAAAACATAGTACTAAGCTTAATAAATATTGTTGAAAGGTAAATTAGATCAATAACTTTTAAGAAATCACATGTTCTTTCAGGAGGTCGGCTGCAATTATTTTTTGATTATATATTACCATCCTCACTTATAGGTCAAAAAAATTTAAGGTACATTGAGATATATAATCTGTAGCAGTTCTATCAGTATAAAATATTAATTATTTTGATACCAGAGTTCTTTAATAGTTAATTCAGGTCACAGATTTGTTAATGCAGCTTAGTCAATTCAGCAAACACATCTGCTGTGTGTACCTACTATGTATGAGGCACTGAGAAGCTCATATAGGCTTTGGGGGCAACAGCCCTTAATTACAGTTGAGAGACATTAATTAGCACACTCTAGGGAACCACTCAGAGTCAAACTTCTTCCACCAAAAAATAGATTGTTACAGGATGGTGCTTTCTAGAATAACATGTAAATATATAGGGCCACTTAGAAACACCAAACTGTTAGAGGAAGAAAAAAAAATAGAAGCATGTGCCAAAACTTAAGGAGATTTGGGAATGCTTGTCTTGCAATAAAGAATAATTGAAAATGGAAGGAAATAATAAGGCAACCACTGACCACAGTTTCTTCCTCAAAAAGAGTTTGGCCCCTGAAATGTTTAATTTTGTTATTTCTACATCTGTCACTAACCTAGTATGTAATTCATCCCTGTTTGTAAGGCAATAACTGGTCCTCGTTATCTCTAGCCCAAAAGAATTTCTGAGACTTTGAATCTAGCACTTGGTGCATGATTTCACAATCACCCTGCCTTTTCTTCCCCTAGGGAATTGTTGTAAGAATGTTTCAAGAGCTTTCCTTGAATAATAACCAGCACTTAATTTTAAAAAATTAAATGTAAACTTCACATGTGCTGCTGGCCATTTTATCTTTTGATAGCCCAGCTGGATGAGATCCAACACTATCTTTTTTGATAGCCTAATTTCCTGGCAATAATAAAGATGAAGCTTTTAGATTATAGAATGCTTCTTCAACTACTCAGAAATAAAAGAGAAACTTTGAATAACTTCATTTTCTACAGTTACATTCTTAGCATTGGAAAGATTATTAAACTCTTGAGCATATTTTTAAGAGCTTTATCTTTTATGAATAGTGGTAAGTAGTTAAATTTTGATTTTGGGTATTAACTCTTTTCCCTGTCTTGTGCCACAAATCTATACATAGTCGTTGGTATCATAATAATAGTAAGTTTCTTCTTGTATAATGCAGTTTATGAAATATGCTCATATATATTTAGCCATCCCAGTCTATCATTCTTTTATTCATTTATTCAACCAGTATTATTAAACACCTAATATATGTCCTGCTTAGTGGTATATCAACCCCATGTGCCAGGTATTATTATTATTATTATTACTTTGTTTTAAGATGAGAAATGTAAGACCAGAAAAACTAAGTAATTTACCTAAGATTATACATGTGAGGGAGAATATCACATGTTGGTAAACAATGTACATCCTGAGGTCAGATTTACCAGAGTTTCATCCTGGCTCTGCCATTTACTAGCTGTGTTGCTTTGGTTAAGTGTTTAACCTCTCTGTGTCCCAGTTTTCTCATCCATAAAATGAGAATAATCACAGCACCTACTTAATAGAGTTGAAGCACTTAAAACAGTGCCTAGCATGTAGTGAGTTCTCAATAAGTATGCATATTATTAATTTGGTAGGCTGTGGTCCAGAGACTTGAACCACATCTTCTGACTCCACATTTGTTGCTCTTTCTCTGATGCTCTACTGCCTCCATAATATGACAACAAATTGTTATCTCTGTATGTATGAGATTTAAATTCAAACTCAGAAGTACATGTAGCATGTTTGTAAATAACTATAATTTTTAGTTCATAAGCATAGGCAATCATGGAAAATGTACCAAGGACCCACTGTTCTTTCTCCATTGCTATAGAATGGCAAGTAAAAGATTTGGCAGAGAACAAACCAATACATATGGTTGTGGGCAACAGTGCCTTAATGACAGAATATGATCCCCATAAGGAAATGTTTATGTTAGAGGAAAAGAATCCCTCCAGACCAGTGTACTCTGTAATACTTAGCCTAGGCTTCCTGATGTTTGTTTGCTGTCATCAAGACAGACCAAACAGCGTGAAGCATGATGGGGATGTTTGCTTCACCCTAGGAGACTCATTCTTTGAGTCTTTAAGCCATCAATAAGGGCAAGTGTCTCCAAAACACATTTAGATGCAAGAAGCAGTATCATCTAACTCTAATGCAGTGGTTCTCAGACTTGACTGCTCATTAGAACCACCTGAGGAGCTTGTAAAAATTTCAATATAGAGGGCACACCCAAGACCAATTACATCAGGATCTCTGGGAGTAGGACCAGGCAGTAGTAGTTTTTAAAGCTCCCCAGGTGACTACAATGTGCAACCAAGGCTGGGAAGACCCTAATGGGAAGAGCATGATGTCAGAAGTTAGAAACTCCTTAGCCTTGTATCAGTTTTGCCGTATGTAGGTAAGTGAATTTAAGGTAGTCACTTAACTCTTTGTACTTTGGTTTTCATTTCTATGGATTGACAAAAATATTCCATCCTACTTTATGTTGCTCTATGGTTAGCATGAGAGAGCATGTGTGAAAATAGAACATGCTGAGGCAAGTCGGTGCTATTATTCTTTTTGGGATGTGACCATTCTGTAGTGGAAGAAAAATTCAGGGCAACCTCTACAGATGTTGGACAAGAGGAGTATCACAGAAAAAAAAAAAAAAAAAAAAAAAAAAAAAAGAAAGGCAGAGTAGAAGCAATGCCCTGGAATCTGCAGAAGGCACAACAGAAAAGGAAGAACTATACTGTGGAGGCAACAGAGGATGCTTTCCTACCACAGCTTGCAACAAAACTGCCACATGTGCAAGATATCATAGTGATGAAAGAATTTCAACTTGAAGAACTTCTGCTAAAGTTACACGGTTCCTTTCTTCTGTCTGTCTCCTGTCCTCATTCTTTCGTTGTTTCTCTCCGATCAGTGTCGTTCGTTGAGCACCTTCTATATTTAGACAATTGGCTATGCATTAGAGACAAGAAGACATGTATTGTGTTAAGCTCTTCAGGGAGTTTACAGGCAATTGGTAGGAGACAGATGAGTGAAAAAAAAATCATAGGGATAAAATATGAGAAGTGTTAAAAGTTTGTACAAAGTACTGTGGCATTTTCATCTCTCAGATGATGGAGAAAGCAATGAAGAAAATGAGTCAATGATATAAAACTAATGGGACGATTCAGGAAAGATGACCATGTCATTTGGAATTTCATAATATATAAGGAAGAGACAGCCATACATATTCAAATATAAAATGAGGAAAAGCAATCTCAAAAAGTTTAAGAAAAGATATGAATTATCCTTAAATAGAAACCTCAAAAGGAAATAGCATTCGTGAGAGATTAAATTTTAAATTTTGGCTAAGAGTAATGAAGAGTCCCAATGAGAAGACATTACTCAACCTCTGTCTGTTTGCCCACCTGTACAGTGGGTATTCTAATGGTAACCATATCTATTTTACATGTGCCCAGCATACAATAAAAATTCTGGCTCGATGCAGTGGCTCATGCCTGTATTCCCAGAACTTAGAGAGACCAAAGCAGGTGGATCACTTGAGGCCAGGAATTTGAGACCAGCCTGGCCAACATGGTGAAACCTCATCTCTACTGAAAATACAAAAATTAGCCAGGCATGATAGTGCACACCTATAATTCCAGCTACTTGCTGGCTGAGGCATGAGATTCGCTTAAACCTGGGAGGTGGAGGTTGCAGTAAGCCCAGATTGCACCACTGCACTCCAGCCTGGGTGACAGAATGAGACTGTAAAAAACAAAAAAATCTGCTAATGTTAATTATTATAATCATCTAAAGGAAATAGTGAAACCTCACAAGAACTCTGGGGAGCTAAGATTTACTTCTTTAATGGAAGGGAGGAGTATATATTCAAATACCAATAAAAAGTATTAATAAAGTCTATGAGAATATGCATGTATGTGTGCTTACATCTGTTTGAGGCAAGAAAATTAATAAGGAACAGACAAAAACATTGTTCGTGAAAATCATGTAAAAAAGGAAACTATTTAGTTACAATGTTTTTTTTTTTTTTCTATCAATGGCAAATGTTATCAAGCTAAAAGGTGTAAATTAATCATCATTAAGAAGAAAGCCCCAGGCTGGGCATGGTGGTTCATGTCTGTAATCCCAATGCTTTGGGAGGCCAAAGCAGGAGGATTGCTTGAGCCCAGGAGTTTGAGACCAGCCTGGGCAAAATGGTGAGACTCCATCTCTACAAAAAATTTTAAAATTAGCCAGGCATGGTGGCATGTGCCCATAGTCCCAGCTACTTGGGAGTCTTGAGTGGGAAGATCCCTTGAGCTCAGGAACACGAGGTGGCAGTGAGCTATGGTCAT